TGTAAATATTTATTTGTGATATTTGTATTTAATACTATTTACATAACGCTGAATGTTATTTTTTTACCGTGACATTAATTTCGTCATCGCAGTTGCCTAGATGGCCCGTTATACTTAATATTATACRTTATATGCAATATACTATACAGGTTTTACTTTATTATTTAGATATATGAATAACCACCCACACTCTTGGACAGCTGATAACCATCAGACTTCGACATAATAAAAATAATTACACTTTGAGTCAACTACCGCCGTCGAGATAACATTATACATTACACAAGTTCATAGATGGCTTGACAGCCGGGTAACCATGCAGCCTATAACGATTTTAGCTAGGGGAAGAGGAAACCATTCAGATGGCATTGTATTCAAAGGAAGCCGTTTGGTCTACCACCGCACACATTCATGGTTCACAACTGAACACTSACGAAACTAATCGATGTCACCGTTCCTAGGGGACATGGAAATGGCGTTTTAACAACGARACTAGGACAATATAGATATAGGAATGAATTTTTTATTGTGTAATTCGAACTTACCCCACGTAGCGTGGCCGTTACCCATCACAAGCATTTCCGGTTAAAGGCCGGGTGCGGTTTGGTGGCCGTGTGGGAATTATTGTATTGGAGAAGAGCGCTTGCCGCCATTTAAACGATCCATAAGATTGGATGAACGAGCACAGGTGCAACAAGGACAGTGACATGTCACTTGGTCAGATGAGAAACTTTGACGATCACGGCGAAGTCATATCATTATTAACTTTATATTTAAGTATAATATGTAGGGGAAAAACAAAGTACAGGTAAATATTAATTTTTAGGAATGTTACAATCAGGGGCGGATTAGTCCAGGGTGCTATACACTAAGTAGCACCCCAGGCCCCCATTCTTATTTATGATCCGGGCTCCCGATTACCAYTGTCGGGCCCTTTTTAATTTAACTCTTATTGTAATGTAGAATAGAAAGATAAATTATAATAGGAATTGACAATACTGTTATTATTATATTTATAATATAACATTGTATCACTCCTAATTTTAGTAGATTTGAAAAAAATGTACGGGCCCCTAATTAATTTTGCATCCCGGGCTAAAAATAGTCAGTCCGCCCTGTGTATAATACATTCAAAAATCAAAAAGCCGCTTATAGCCCAGTATAGTAATGAGGTTAGGTTATACCAAAACACAGTTTTTAATAGTTTATAAAAATCTCAAAATAGCTGGAAAATATATTAGGCTTAGTCAAATAGTTTTACAATTTCATAATAGTTCCCAAAATTTGACAAATTAAAAGTAGATGGGCATTATTTTTGTACAAGCATTTTATTGTTTTAATTTATTTATAATTTTGTTTAAGTATATTTTTAAATTTTTTTGTAATTCCAATTGAATTATATATTTAACTTTTATAGTTTTGGCTTGAAAATTTAACACAAGACTCCTCATATTAAGTTTTTAAGGTGAAACCTTGAAATCTAAAAAATATTTAAACACAGTTTTATTGAAATTCAAATTTTGACGGGATATTTAAACAAAATATAATTTTGTATTCAAAACATTATTAGTCGATGTCACGGTGGTTAGTAACTGGTAAATTATGTTTACCTGAAGCATTAATATTACCTAGTAGTGACTACTATTATCCATACATTAACTACTCTAGATACTGGAATAAAAGTTTATAGAAGTATAAGGGATTGAGTCATAATCTTAATAAAAAAATAAAAGACGTATATGATGAAATTGTTTTTACTAAATACCAGAGTATAGTGATTAATGTTGTAGATGATATCATTTTGGGTAGAATTATAGCTTGCAGACAACAGTATTTAGTGTAACTGAAGTTATATAATTAACGAAATTTCAYCTATCAATATAATGCGGATATCGTATTTGCTTTAAAATATCACACTATTATTTTACTTTTACATAATGATACATACAGTCAGTACCAAGTTCAATGGAGTGGCCATGG